CAAAAAACAAGGCTCCAGGAATTGACAGAATACCCACTGAGATGTTTCAACACACGGATGCCACGCTGAAAGCACTTATAGTCTATGCCAAGAAATTTGGAAGACAGCTACTTGACCAAGTGACCAGAAGAGACCCGTTATTTATACCCATTCCAAAGAAAGGTGATCCCACAGAATGTGGAAATTACCAAACAATATCTTTAATATCACATACAAGTAAAATCTTGAAAATAATTCAAAAATGGTTGCAGCAGTATATTGACAGAGAGCTTCTAGAAATGCAAGCTGGATTCAGAATGAGGGATATCACTGCTGATATAAGATGGATCTTGGCTCAAAGCAAAGAATACTAGAAAGATGTTTACTGGTGTTTTATTGACTATGCAAAAGCATTCATCATGTGGATCATAACAAATTGTGGATAACATTGAGAAGAATGGGAATTCCAGAACACTTAATTGTGTTCCATGAGGAACCTGTACAAAGACCAGGAGGCTGCTGTTCAAACAGAACAAAGGAATATTGCACAGTTTAAAATCAGGAAAGGAGTGCGTCAGGGTTTTATCCTTTCACCATACTTATTCAATCTATATGCTGAGCAAATAATCTGAGAAGTGGACTATATGAAGAAGAATGCAGCATTAGGATTGGAGGAAGACTCATTAACCACCTGTGATATGCAGACGATACAACTTTGCTTGCTGAAATTGAAGATGACTTGAAGCACTTACTGATGAAGATTAAAGAATACAGTCTGCAGTATGGATTACACGTCAACATAAAGAACACAAAAATCCTCACAACTGGACCAATAAGCAGCATCACGATAAATGGAGAAAAGTTTGAAGTTATCAAAGATTTCACATTGCTTGATTCCACAATCAATGCAATGGAAGCAAAAGTCAAGAAATCAGAGGATGTATTGCACTGGGCAAATCTGCTGCAGAAGACCTCTTTCAAGTGCTAAAGAGCAAAGATATCTCTTTGAAGATTAAGGCGTGCCTAACCCAAGCCATGGTGTTTTCAATCATCTCATACACATGTGAAAGCTGGACAATGAATTAGAAGACCGAAGAAGAGTTGATGCTTTTGAATTGTGGTGTTGGTGAGGAATACTGAAAGTACCATGGACTGCCAAAAAAATGAACAAATCTATCCTGGAAGAAGTACAGCCAGAATGCTCCTTGGAAGCCAGAATAGCCAGACTTCATCTCACTTTCTTTGGTTATGTTGTCAAAAGGGACCATTCCCTGGAAAAGGATATCATGCTTGGTAAAGTGGAGGGTCAGTGAAAAAGGGGAAAGCCCTCAACAAGATGGATTGACACAGTGGGTCCAAGGATGAGCTCAGGTACAGCAAGTATTAGTAGGCTGGTGTAGGACCGGGCAGTGTTTTGTTCTGTAGTACACAGGGTTGCTATGAGTTGGAGGTGACTCAAGGGCACCTAACAGCAGCAGCAGCCATGGCTTAACTTCCAGCCAAACTACAGAGAGGCCCACAAGGTGAATAATTACATTAGGTAGGTACATTCCTTAGAACAGTCAACCATGGGAGATCAGAAGGGCAGCATTTGTGTAGAAAAAAAGCTGAGAGGGCAGTTATACACAGGAAAGAAGGACACAGGAAGAACTACAGGGAGCAACTGGGAAGAAAGCTGTTACATTGTAGGGATTGCAATCAATACTATGAAACAAAATGTTTGAACTGTTGAATGAAAAATGAATTTGCTCTGTAAACTTTCACCCAAATCACAACTAAAAAACTGATTTTTTTTTTGTTTTAGTAGTTAACCTGGCTAGAACCAAAAGTCCAAATTTTGACTCCCTTGTAGCTGGCCTCAGCTGAGTTCTCCATTCAGTTATGTTAGCCTTAGCACCTATCCTGTGCATGTACTGGTTAGGAGTCAGCTCTTCTCTCTCACTTTTCAGCTGCTATAATCACCATGGATACAGTTCTCTCATTCCTCAACCATTAAGACTGTATGTTTCTTTGCAAGATTTAGCTATTACACATCATAGCAACTGCAACCTACCCACAGGTGAAAAACTGTAAAAAATGGAAAACCTTTGAAATTACTATTCTCTTTTCTGTGCTACAGTGGAAACTGCACTAGGACTGGGAATTTGAAGACCCTATTAATTTAAATCCTGGACTGGCCAGTTTTAGTCATGTAACTTTGGGGAAGTCAATTCTCACAGCCCATTTCCTCATCCTAAAATGGGGAAAAGAATGTCAGCTTCATGAGGTTTTTAAGAGAATCAAATGAAATAATACATGTGTTAAGGAAACTGAGGCTTAGAGACTTAATGTCCTAATATTAAGTGGTAAAAGTTGGATGGGTCAACCACATCTCTTAGACTGTAAAACCCATGCTTTGTCTGATAATCATTCTCTCCATCTGTCCCTTCCAAACACACCTCTGAGTACTTAGTATGATCCAGTTACCAGATTAGGTATCAAGGATAAGTTAAAATCCTTGCCCTTTAAAAGTTCCAAGTGCTATTTCCTGCTTCTAAGTATTGACTTTCCTCCCATTTATGCTTTCTTTTGGTCACACTCCAGTATCTTCAGGTAGTTGTTTTTTATATTTTGTTCAGTTTGCAATTGCCATCTATCAGAGGGGTTGGTCTGATACAAATTACTATATCATTACCAGAAATTCAACTGCTGTTCATGGATTTTATGCTAACTGCTCTGTTTTTATGTGGGGATTTGAAAATCTAAAAGTTATGTTACTATTATTCCATCCTCCCAGAATTTTCTGCCATATATTTTATTTATTTAATTGTGCTTTAGGTGCAAGTTTACAGAGCTGAGTTTGTTTTATATTCAACATTTCATGTACAATTGGTTTCACTCCCCAATTGCCATCCCCAACCCTAACCCACTCTCCTCCCCTCCTTTCCCAATAACCACCCCCATGTCCCTGATAGTTGTGCACTCCTGTGTGTCCGTATTTCCTTTGTGCGAATGCTGACTCTCTAATGACCCGTGGTCGACTGCTCCAAGGGATGCATCTCCATAGAGTATGTGGGTGCATCACCCTGGGTTGAGTGGTCTGCATGTACATCTTATTTACTATTGGGCTAAGAGCCAGCCCCTGGGAGTGAGTTTTATTCCAGGCCTGAAGTATATCCCAGGGCCATAGTATTGAGAGTCCCATCCACTCTGTCTGACCAGTAATTCTGGTCATAATTGTATTTTTGGATTTTGTTCCATGTTTTTCCTCCCACTCTATTCAGGATCTCC